CTAGGCAAGGCGCCCGCCTGCTGAACTAATCAAACGACTGTCTGAACGTTTGAACTGATGAAGTGGAGACGACTGAAACTGGTGATAGCGGGCAGAAGATGTAAGTGCCACCGGGACTCGAGAGGAGCGACACCCGACAATGAAGGTATGTGCGAAGAAACAATGCCGATTGTGTGGCCATTTGAGTGCATTTTCAGTTATGTTATATGGTTGAAGTAGCGATCAGACGCCAGCGCATCGTTCTTCCCTCCACACTACTCGCGCGACAGGATGGTGTTTTCAGACGACCTTGACCTGTGGAGCTCCGTGCCATGGGACGTTAGTGCTGGAGACGCCGACGACTGCCATGGAATTTATCGATTCCCGTGAGCTGCCCACCAAATGCCGATGAGTTGAAGGTTGATGGCACTAGTTGATATAGGCTATAGAAACTAGGATACCGTTTACCATAGATAACATGAATCATGTTATCTATGCGTTTACCTATGCACTAAGGATGATTGCACAAAATAAGCAGATTGAAAACTTTCCCAATATATGGAGCTAACAAATGTTGCATCAACCAGAATGATAAGAACGGTAAGGTACCTTTTTTCGTATTGGCGAGCGTCTTTTTTGTGTGCAAAGGGCAGGTTGCGCATCTGTGTAAGTACCTATTGCCAAACGTTCTACAAATCGTTCTTAAAATCGTGATGTGATTTTCATGTGCGCAAATCTGCGAAGCCTGCCATAACTGAATTTAGGATGTCGACAGTCGATTATTATGAAAAGGTAATTAATTGTGCTAGAAGAATCTAGACCTCATCATCAACAGTAATGACACATGCATAATGGGCATGGTTATTGGCACATTTCTGTTCGTCGTAGATTTCATGTCAAGTGGCAAGGAATGGGGATGGGCAATGGGCATGACATCTCCTCGTGTCGAAAGTGTTCATCCCAGTCGCTCTCATCTGGAGCCATTATTGTACACAAAGCGGACATGAGCTTACCTCCTTCCAACCGGGCAGTACAGCACTACAATATGTTATATGTGGGAATTAGTGCCAAGCAGTTGATCGATCCGCCCTCGGCTCGCCGTGGCGCACCCAGGCGTGGACGTTCGCGCACCGGAAATGATTTCAGTCACCTAATAATTCCAGGCTAATCCTCGTCAGCCGAGGGGATGGATCGATAGCAAGCGCTGACGGTCATCTCGCGATTACTCGCAACGAATTAGCATAGAGAGCTGAATGTTGGCTTACTTGATGTTGGAACACCAACCGCATTTTTATGTCGGGTCAGGCCGTTGACCTATGACGCAATAAGCGAGTCTCTGCACAGCCCTTAAATGTTGGAACTTAGCAAACCCTCAGTGCCAGGGAATCGTTGCGGGGGGATAAAACTTTCAAACAGTACGTAGTCGACAGTTATGTTAAAGCGGATCTCAAACCTGTTCCTCAGATCAAATATAACAGTCATTGCCAAACAGGACTGTGACAGAGCTCTGTTGATTGTTTTATTTCTTATCTTGAATTTGCACTATCTGTAGCTCACTATCGCTGAATGGTTGCATGTTTCTGTCATCTGTGATAATACCAGTAAAACGCCTTTTGGGCGACCAACGGAGCGAGCGAGAGGATGGGCCTTGCACGTGCGAAATTGCGAGGGGGTACCTCCAACTAACTTGTGCACTGCACCCTACTAACCGGTCTTTAGCGATGTGCCAAATTTCAGCGCAATCGGCCTAGCCGTTCTCGAGATCTGGAAGCGGCACACTGCACGTGCGCACGTGCAAGCGGGGTCCAAACTGACTTTTGCACGGCACCCTACTAACTGGTCCCCAACCGTGTACCAAATTTGAGCGCAATCGGCCCAGCCGTTCTCGAGATCTGGGAGCGCCCCCTGCACGTGCGCACGTGCTGTAGCACCCCAACCTTAACACATGCACATGAATTATCTGATGGAGACCTAACTGTGTACCGAGTTTCAATTCAATCGGCCCAACCGTTGTGCCGTTATTGAGGTTGCAATTTTGGGGGTTCTTAAAAAATGCCCAACTTTACCACGCGCCGCGCCACGTGCGGTGGTTGGCAAGAACGCATGGTGGCCATTACACCACAGAACTTTTACGTCCAAGTGACATTCAGTAAAGAAGACCGCTTGTCAATCGGATGTCTCGTTCCTAAGATATTAGCTTTTGAAGAGCGTCCCCACGGCCGGCCGGCCGCTCATACTCAGGATTTTCCCTTAATTCAGTATGAGACTCCGCTCGCTTCGCTCGTTCCGTAATCATACCAGTGCGATTGGATTGGATGAGTCATCTTCCCAAATCTAGACGATATCGCATGCCAGAAAGGCTGTTAGAGAAGCTAGCAAACCTTTCTCGGATATTAACCTCACGATGTGACCCTAATAGCGCTTGGACTCTGCTTCGACCCACGCACCCCATAAAACAGCAAATGTTATTTGCTGTCCGATTCAGGTCGAGGTTGTCGGGGCCAGGAAAAAAAGAAATCCATTATTTTACCACAGGTGCACCCATCTGTGAAGTCACGTTTCTGGCTACACGAGAGACCGCTTAATCTCCAGAGCGATGTTTCCCCATGTCATGTCTGTCCTGCCGTTCCGATATCCCGCGCCCTGCTGGGGGGGGGGGGTGTTTGAACACCCCCCCCCTTGTGGTTTTTAGTACACCTTATCATACATCAATTCTACACAAGTTGTGAAAATTTCAGACCAAGGTCATTCAAGGTCAGGTCACCAGGTCACTTGAAGTGACCTCACCTCATAAAAAGTTTCAATGTCTGTCATAGCTACACCGAGTGACCGATCGCTTTGAAACTTTCAGCGATTGCTAAGAGCAATAGCATGTACAAAATGTATATCTCAGAATTTTGATATCGATGACCTAAGGACTAAGGTCAGGTCAATTTTGCGACCTCCCCATTATAAGTCAATGGGAGAAAATTGAAATGCGCCTCTTTTGGACGAAAGACATTATGAACACTCCCAAACACCGAATTACAAGTGGTTTAGACACACTGAACATGAAAATGGTGTCCGTGACCCTTGTTTGTGCCCTGAGGTCATCTTAGGTCACGAATGGTATCTAACAGTTTTTCGCAAATAACTTTTGATAGAGGCATGCTAGAGCGATGAAAACGCCTTATATGTGTTCGGCTCGACGATACGGATCGACTGATATGCAACATGACCCTTTCCGGTCAGGTCATGACCTTGACCTGAGGTCAAATTTTCAAGTTGACCTTTCAAGGTCAAGTTATAGTTCATTCGATGCGTCTTGACGAGAGGAACACGATTCCGGTGAAAGTAAGCTCGTACAAGGCTTGGGTCAAAAGTTATTGCAGAAAGACTGATTCCGAAAAAATCGGCTATTTTTGCAGTTTTTGCCCCCTGCAGGCAAAACCGTTGACGTTAGGTCAAATCTGAGAGAATTACTCAGAAAGGGCGTTAATAGGGCTATCGAATGCACTTTTCCGCGGCGCTGTAGCTCTAGGGGAGAGCGGGGTGAGTTGTATCATGTCCAAGTTGTATCAGGGCGAATTGTGCCAAACTTATCCAATAGATAGCGCTCGTGACACGACCAGCCGACAAGGTTTTCCGGGCGCCACCTTTCCATGTTCTGTCGTGTGGCTGGGTGGACGCGTCTCGAGGTGAGAGCCGATTTTATGTTTTTTTAATGTCATTCTAAAAAATTAAGCTGCAGGAAAATGTGTGTTTTGGGCATTTAGATGTGCACGAATTTGAAAGATCTCCGTAGCGGTGGTGAGGGTAGGTTCTAAGGCTGCGTGAGTGAAAATGAATTTCTCCAGCTGTCCGCTGTTTTTGAGCACGAGGAAGTTTTTTTCCAAGATGGCGGCGAGGTGCATGTTGTATCAGAGCCGGGTGGGGTATGTTGTAACATGTATGTATGTATGTATGTATGGGTATGTTGCTTTTGATCGTGAAAGCTAAGCCCTGGCTCGCGTTTGTAGGTAGCTAGTCAATACTCGTTCCATTTCGGCACAATGTGTTGGCTGCTTTGCTCTTAACGGGTCACTTTTGCGTCTAGTCTGTTGATGTTTCGTTCGTTTCGATGTTTCGTTCGGATTGACCTAAGTTTGATCTAATAAAAGTGAAGCCTATGAGCATATACATTGTATTAACCCCATTTAATGTTGTTGTTATGTTCAAAACCAGTAGTAAGCACACTCCCTGAAACGTGAAATAGTGATACAAATTACCCCACCATGTGATACAACTCACCCAAGCCATGGGGCAAGTTGTATCAAAAACATTGTTCTATTCGGCAGACCGTAGAAGAAAAACTAGTAGAGGTAGCGGAAAAGTTACTTTGCACAAAAAAGCAGAAGAATCAAGGAAGGAGATAGTATGGAAATAATGAGTTTATCACGGATAGTTACGAGGTTATGGGTCTCGGAGTAAAAACTGATACAACCCACCCCACTCTCCCCTATTGGTTCCCGAGTTATGCGTTGGCTTCTTGGAAATTTTTCGACATTCGACCTGGAAATCGGCGAAATTTTGCCTTCAATGACCTCTGGTGACCTGACCTTTGACCTGACCAAAAAAATTGACCGAAGTGATTTCGTCATTATTTTTGACGCTCTTTCGAACGCCGCCTTCCGCGTATCGCTACGTGGCCCAGGAGCCGAGTTACAAGGGGGGGGGGTTCAAACACCCCCCCCCCCCAGCAGGGCGTGGAAATCCAGGACCCCCAGCCGGGCGCGGGATATGTCACGCGTCCCTCTGTCAGCGGCGGGAGCTCTGTGTTGCCCGAGCCGACCTTGGACACTGCCTGCCACGTGCCCGACCGCCGCCTCCACCGACGACGGCGACGACGGCGCGTTACTCTGCCGTTGTTGTGGTGGTATCGACGGCGTCGGCCGGTGCGTGGCGCGTGCGGCGGCGGTCGCCGTGGCCGGCGGGGGGCGGGCTGCGGTGCGCCGCCGGCTCGCCGCCGCCTCCAGACGGGCGCGGGCCGGCACGGCGGCCGGTGGTCAGCCGCCCGAGATGGCCACCCATCTGACAGCCACCCGTCTGCCCTCGATTCCAGTGGACGGAGGGGGCCTGGCGGGACTGTGGAGGACCGCGGAAGACGGCAAACTGAGACAGCGTGATGCCAAGGTGAGCATAAGCGGTCCGGGAGATAGCAGAATACCTATAGAAGAGCAGTCTGTCAGTCACGCCTTTGAACATCGTAAATCCAGAGCATGCCTAGTGCATGCTACGCTTGCAGTTTTTGCATGCGCCGATTGCTAAACGGTAGGTACACATTCATGAGTTCGTTCCGTGCCGTGCAAATCAAAATGTCTGGTCCGGGTGTATGTTTAACTCCATGGATGTCTGTGAACCCGAAACTTCACCGTCTGAAGGAGTCACGCCACACCACTTTGTCCAGGACTAACAGTGGTGATTACCGTAGCGTTGCTGCACGAGATGCTTGTTCAGCCGTGCTAAATTTGACGGAAGAGGACTATTTGATAGAGAAATGTGCAACGTAATGCAGCGTTTTTATAACCATTTTAATCTTAAACGATGAATCGTCTCATTTTAGTCTCATTGCTATCACAGGTGGAATATGGTAATGCATATAAGATCATGTGACGATCACTGATCAATGATCAATGATCATCACCAAGTACACGGTTTAGGTGTAGGGGAGAGCGGGGTCAAATGTAACACGGGGCAATTGTAACAGTGTTAATAATTCATAAACTTACCAATAGAATGAGCTGATGTTCAGACCGAAAATGCGTAATTCTATACTGCCTTTCCCAACGGAGTTTGAAGCGAAAGTGCCGGGTATGTCGATGGCTGTGCACAGTAATGTGTTTTTGAGAGCATTTTGTAGATTTTTATGCCGTTATATTTGATTATAGCTCATTCCCGCCATTGAAAAGATATCGACTTCAGACTTTGTATAAGCGTTGGCAGGCTTGTTGTCGATAAATTGAAAGCATTAAATGCTGCCTACATGCAACATCTTTTTGCGCCAGTTTCGTCTAAAATATGTCAAGGCGCGACGGGGACAATTGTAACATTTTTGCAGGGGTCAAATGTAACAGGTTATAGGTCAGTGGCCATTATGTCAAAGTCGTCAAATATTCAAGGGAGATGAAACATTGCTAGAATTAAGAGAACTGTGAGTTTTGTCGCAATCGGCAGCTTTTCACGCGATTTATTTGCGAAAAACCAAGGGAGAGGAGGTCCATCCAACCCCTGTATAAGTGCGAGGTTTTATTGCCTTCTTCCTGAGAAGAACCGTCCCTACCAAGTCTGGGATGATGAACAAGTGTTCAATACTTTTGTTAAATCAAAGTTTTGGAAAAAAATTGTGTTGCTGTAGCCTGTAAATGAACATGTTACAATTGTCCCCGGATGGTGTTACTTTTGACCCCGTATCTGGGGCGAATTGTAACAGCTGAATTGACTTTTTCGAATAACAATTTTGACCCGAAAAAGAAGCTATTTCGGAAATGTTTTAACTGCATTTTAACCCGCGCCCGGCTGGGGGTCCTGGATTTCCACGCCCTGCTGGGGGGGGGGGTGTTTGAACACCCCCCCTTCTAACTCGGCTCCTGGGCCACGTAGCGATACGCGGAAGGCGGCGTTCGAAAGAGCGTCAAAAATAATGACGAAATCACTTCGGTCAATTTTTTGGTCAGGTCAAAGGTCAGGTCACCAGAGGTCATTGAAGGCAAAATTTCGCCGATTTCCAGGTCGAATGTCGACAATTTCCAAGAAGCCAACGCATAACTCGGGAACCAATAGAGCTACAGCGCCGCGGAAAAGCGCATCCGATAGCCCTATTAACGCCCTTTCTGAGTAATTCTCTCAGATTTGACCTAACGTCAACGGTTTTGCCTGCAGGGGGCAAAAACTGCAAAAATAGCCGATTTTTCTGAAAGTTATTCTGCAATAACTTTTGACCCAAGCCACGTACGAGCTTACTTTTACCGGCATCGTGTTCCTCTCGTCAAGACGCATCGAATGAACTATAACTTGACCTTGAAAGGTCAACTTGAAAATTTGACCTCAGGTCAAGGTCATGACCTGACCGGAAAGGGTCATGTTGCATATCAGTCGATCCGTATCGTCGAGCTGAACACATCTAAGGCGTTTTCATCGCTCTAGCATGCCTCTATCAAAAGTTATTTGCGAAAAACTGTTAGATACCATTCGTGACCTAAGATGACCTCAGGGCATAAACAGGGGTCACGGACACCATTTTCATGTTCAGTGTGTCTAAACCACTTGTAATTCAGTGTTTGGGAGTGTTTATAATGTCTTTCGTCCAAAGGAGGCGCATTTCAATTTTCTCCCATTGACTTATAATGGGGAGGTCGCAAAATTGACCTGACCTTAGGTCAGCGATATCAAAATTCTGAGATATACATTTTGTACATCTATTGCTCTCAGCGATCGCTGAAAGTTTCAAAGCGATCGGTCACTCGGTGTAGCTATGACAGACATTGAAACTTTTTATGAGGTGAGGTCACTTCAAGTGACCTGGTGACCTGACCTTGAATGACCTTGGTCTGAAATTTTCACAACATGTGTAGAATTGATGTATGATAAGGTGTACCAAAAACGGCGGCGCTCCGCGCCGCCGTTTTTGAGATATTCGCGAAAAACCACAAGGGGGGGTGTTCAAACACCCCCCCCCCCAGCAGGGCGCGGGTTAAAGACAAAACATCATAGTTTCTGAAAATAAAAGAAAGAGCTTTATAGCTGCAAACGTGTTTGCACCAGATGATAAAATGCAAAAAATGTTACAATTGACCCCGTTCTCCCCTACCTACGCATAATTTTATCAAAATCGAACTTTCCAGCGGGGAATCATTCATAAGGTAGTTGACTGGGCGGCTTTGTATGGACTGTTCATCGCGGCAGCTATAGCACAGCTAATTAACGTCCAAGGCTGCATGCTTCTGTCTAAATGCCTTATGCATGCAATCTAATACACTGTCGGTAATATTCGTAACAACTGCAAATTATCCAGGAAAAATATCGCAAGTGGTCTTTTGCCGCTTCGGCCACATCGCTATTGTTTTTTTTTTTTTTTTTTTGTTTTTTTTTTTGCTCTAGGGGAGAGCGGGGAGAGTTGTATCATGTCCAAGTTGTATCAGGGCGAATTGTGCCAAACTTATCCAATAGATAGCGCTCGTGACACGACCAGCCGACGAGGTTTTCCGGGCGCCATCTTTCCCTGTTCTGTCGTGTGGCTGGGTGGACGCGTCTCGAGGTGAGAGCCGATTTTATGTTTTTTTAATGTCATTCTAAAAAAATGAGTTGCAAGAAAATGTGTGTTTTGGGCATTTAGATGTGCACGAATTTGAAAGATCTCCGTAGCGGTGGTGAGGGTAGGTTCTAAGGCTGCGTGAGTGAAAATGGATTTCTCCAGCTGTCCGCTGTTTTTGAGCACGAGGATGTTTTTTCCAAGATGGCGGCGAGGTACATGTTGTATCAGAGCCGGGTGGGGTATGTTGTAACATGTATGTATGTATGGGCATGTTGCTTTTGATCGCGAAAGCTAGGCCCTGTCTCGCGTTTGTAGGTAGCTAGTCAATACTCGTTCCATTTCGGCACAATGTGTTGGCTTCTTTGCTCTTAACGGGCCACTTTTGCATCTAGTCTGTTGATGTTTCGTTCGTTTCGATGTTTCGTTCGGATTGCATTGACCTAAGTTTGGTCTAATAAAAGTGAAGCCTTTGAGCATATACATTGTATTAACCCCATTTAATGTTGTTGTTATACTCAAAAGCAGTAGCAAGCACACTCCCTAAAACGTGAAATACCTAGTGATACAAATTACCCCACCATGTGATACAACTCACCCAAGCCATGGGGCAAGTTGTATCAAAAACATTGTTCTATTCGGCAGACCGTAGAAGAAAAACTGGTAGAGGTATCGGAAAAGTTACTTTGCACAAAAAAGCAGAAGAATCAAGGAAGGAGATAGTATGGAAATAATGAGTTTGACACGGATAGTTACGAGGTTATGGGTCTCGGAGTAAAAACTGATACAACCCACCCCACTCTCCCCTACGGCCTAATAAATTCACTCGGTCAATCTTACCGAAGGCCTACACTGTACACAATTACACATATGATCATCTAACTTTTAGGCTCCCGTTTCGCAATGCAAGTTAACGCCCGATTTAGCGGAGCTCTACCGTTTAGTTGGTAGGATACCATTAATCGGTGTCGTGCCGCGACGTTCTAACGAACTGCTGAGCCGGCGGGCTGTGTTGTCACAGTCCGAATCCGCCGGGGCTTTAGGTCGTGTCAGAGACCGGCTCAGCAGCTACCGCGGTAAGCCGGCCCCGGGTTGGCTCAGGCCACAGAACTGCGGGTCAGTGTCGCTAGGTGGGCCAGTGAGGCCAGCGGACCCGCCCAGGTCACACCGCCGGTCATTGAAGGACTTCCGCTGATCATCAGAGACGTATCCCGCTCAGTAAGTAAGCAGTGAATGTTGTTTGTAAATGACCAGTGCAGTAGCTCCCACCAGACTTGTGCCAAGGTCCCAAAAAGGTCCGAGATCCAGGGTTCGCAGAGTCCAAGGTCTGGGACCTTGATGGATCCTGGACCTTGCATTGTCATTTTTGTCGTGAGACCTTGGAAACCCAGGACCTTAAAACATCCATATGCCGCGAGACCTTGGAATCCCAGGACCTCAACATTTGCATATGTCGCGAGACCTTGGAATCCCAGGACCTCAACATTTGCATATGCCGCGAGACCTTGGAATCCCAGGACCTTAACATTTGCATGTGTCGCGAGACCTTGGAATCCCAGGACCTCAACATTTGCATATGTCGCGAGACCTTGGAATCCCAGGACATCAACATTTCATGTGACATCAACATGAAACCTTATAGAAACCCAGGACCTCAACATTTCATATGCCGTGAAACCATGGAAAGCCTGAAACCATGGAAAACCAGGGGGGTCAGGACCTCAAAATTTTGGTATGCTGCAAGACCCTGCAGAATGCAGACCTTCAGTCCCAGTTTTATTATTTGTCATGGGTTCTTAGAAGGGTCTGGATCTACACCATCATTTTCTTGAGGGACCTCAAGAATCCTGGAAGCTGGTCCATGAGGTTTATGTTGCACATGGCC